GCTTGAAAGCCCGATTCCTCATGAGGATCAGATCGATTACATCCTCGGTGGTCTCCCGGAGGAGTACAAGCAGGTTCGTGATCAAGTTGAAGGTCGTGACAGTCCGCCATCGCTTACGGTCCTTCATGAAAATCTTATTAATCATGAGCTGAAGCTTCAGACTCTACTTGATGCTGCTTCCTCCTCTGTTCCTGTCTCTGCAAACGTGGCTACTCACAAGCATTCCAACAACAACAACAACAACCACAATAATCGTAACAACAACAACCGCAACAACCGTGGAAACCAAACGTGGCAACAACAACAGAATTCACAGCCTCGTTCCAATGGGAGAGGCTACCAAGGGCGATGCCAAATCTGTGGTGTGCAAGGCCACAGTGCTTGATGGTGCTACCAGCTACAAGCTTCGGGTCGTGGTCACTCACCTCAAGGAGGTGGCTACTCGGCTCCAGGGGGTGGTTACTCGCCGGCCTCGGTTCCACCATGGCAGCCACGAGCGAACATGGCTATGATGGCTCCATACAATGCCGCTCCATGGGTGTGTGATACTGGAGCAACGCATCACCTCACTTCTGATCTTGCCAACTTGTCACTTCACCAACCATACAATGGCGGTGAAGAAGTCACAATTGCGGATGGTTCAGGTTTAAAGATTACACATACGGGTTCTGTTTTACTTCCTACCCCGTCTTGCTATCTTCATCTTAAAGATGTTTTATATGTTCCGAATGTGTGCAAGAACTTGATTTCGGTTTATAGACTTTGCAATGCTAATAAAGTCTCGGTGGAATTTTTCCCCGCTCATTTTCAGGTGAAGGATCTCAGCACGGGGGTCCGATTACTCCAAGGCAAGACTAAGAATGAGCTATACGAGTGGCCGGTTAATCTCAACTCTGCAACCGCATTTTCCGCTTCTCCATCACCAAAGACCGACTTCTCGTGTTGGCATCATCGTCTTGGGCATCCCAATTTATCTACTCTCAAAGCTATTGTTGCACGCTTTTCATTACCTCTTTCAAATTCTCCGCAAAACAATTTGTCGTGTTCCGACTGTTTGCTCAATAAAAGTCACAAGTTGCCATTTTTTGCAAACACAATCACCTCTTCTCAACCGCTTGAATACCTATATACTGATGTGTGGACGTCCCCAATTATGTCCACTGATCAGTTCAAGTATTACCTTGTCATTGTTGATCATTTTACAAGGTATACATGGATGTATCCTTTGAAGCAGAAGTCACAAGTTAAGGAGGTTTTTGTGGCGTTCAAGGCCTTGGTCGAGAACAGGTTTCAAAGTTGTATCCGCACACTCTACTCGGATAATGGCGGTGAGTTCGTTGTGTTACGACCTTTCTTAGCAGCTCATGGCATATCTCATCTCACGTCTCCGCCGCATACACCGGAACACAACGGTATCTCCGAACGCAAGCATCGGCACATCGTCGAAACGGGACTCACTCTTCTCATCCATGCTGCTGTACCGACACATTACTGGCCTTATGCTTTTGCAACAGCCGTGTACTTGATCAATCGTATGCCCACCGATGTGTTGAACGGAGACTCTCCGTACGTTAAATTGTTCAAACAGCGACCGAACTACTTGAAGTTAAGAGTTTTTGGGTGTGCTTGCTATCCTTGGCTTCGCCCGTATCGCAACAACAAGCTTGAACAGCGATCTGCTAAGTGTCTCTTTGTTGGGTATTCACTCACTCAAAGTGCATACTTATGCCTAGAGATTGCAACTGGGCGTCTTTATGTGTCTCGCCATGTACAATTTGCGGAAACAAGTTTTCCCTTCCAAGAAAATGCGTCGTCTCCGATCAGTGTTGAGTCTCTGGCGTCTCGTGTTGTGGGTCCTCCGGTTACTCGATTGCCCTCGTCTATAGCTCATTCGTCTCTGCCCCCATCTGCACCTCCTTCACCACCGCCAATGACCTCAACGCCACCAGTCTCGCCGTTGCATCAATCTCCTCTGGTCTCTCCGTCGATGTCGTCTTCGCATTCTTCTCCAACGCCTCGGTCGTCACAGCCACAGTCGTCTTCTCCAACCTCTGTTCAGTCATCTCATCCTGACCAAACCATAGGCCCCATATCTTCAAGTCCAACAATCAATCCAGGCCCATTATCAACCTCTCCTCCATCCAGCCCAAACACGAAAAGCCCATCACTCTCATCCTCCTCTTCCTCCACTCCCGTCTCGTCATCGTCTTCTTCTTCACAAAGCCAAACACATACAACCACCACCACAAATACGTCCTCACCTTCCTCCATCTCGTCAAATCAATCCGACCACTCACCACCACCGCAAAACCTTCATCCGATGACAACACGTGCTAAAAACCGGATCACAAAACCAAAAACTAAAATGAACCTTCTCGCTTCCGTCACTCCAACGATTCCGACGACTGTGGCCCAGGCTCTGAAGGATTCCAATTGGCGTAAAGCGATGTGTGAGGAGATTGATGCACAAATGAGAGAACACACTTGGGATGTTGTTCCTCCTCCTACTACAAAGAACGTCATCTCTTGTAAGTGGATTTTCACTCTTAAATACAAGCCTGACGGTTCTATTGATAGGTACAAAGCACGGCTTGTGGCGAGAGGTTTTAATCAACAGTATGGCCTGGATTACTCAGAGACTTTCAGCCCGGTTATTAAGTCAACCACGGTTTGGGTTGTCTTGGAAGTGGCGGTCAAACACAACTGGAGCATACATCAAGTGAACATTAACAATGCTTTCTTGCAAGGCACTCTCAAAGATGAAGTCTATGTTACTCAGCCGCCGGGATTTGTGGACCGAGATCGCCCTAGTCATGTGTGTCGTTTGAATAAGGCACTCTATGGCTTAAAACAAGCTCCACGAGCTTGGTATCAGGAGCTTCGTACGTTTCTACTTCAAGTTGGATTCACGAACTCACTCGCTGATACGTCTCTCTTCACATACACTAAGGGAAAGGATCACCTATACGTTCTTGTCTATGTGGACGATATAATCATTGCGGGTGTGCCGTCTCTAGTCAGAACCTTCAATACCTCTCTCGCTGCTCGGTTCTCCCTCAAAGATCTTGGTCCGCTGAGTTATTTTCTGGGCATTGAAGCCACACGTACACGTCGGGGGTTACACTTGATGCAACGCAAGTATATCACTGATTTGCTGGCTCGTACAAACATGCAGGATGCACACTCTGTTCCGACACCGATGACAGAGTTACCAAAGCTCACATTACGGCTGGGTACTCCTCTTCCGGATCCAAAGCAATATCGAATGGTGATAGGAAGTCTTCAATACTTATCTTTCACTAGACCGGATATTGCGTTTGCGGTAAATCGTTTGTCACAATATATGCATCAACCTACTAATATTCATTGGCAGGCCGCCAAGCGAGTCCTACGCTATCTTGCGGGTACAAAGTCTCATGGTATTTTTCTACGCTCCGATGCGCCGCTTACAGTTCATGCGTTTACGGATGCGGATTGGGGAGGTGATATTGGTGATCGTGTCTCGACAAATGCATATATTGTCTATTTTGGGGGCAGTCCGATCTCATGGTCGTCAAAGAAACAGAAAAGTGTGGCTCGTTCTTCGACGGAAGCTGAATATCGAGCCATTGCTAATGCTGCTTCCGAACTACAGTGGCTCTGCTCTTTGCTAACAGAACTTGGCATTGTTCTTCCCACACCACCGGTTCTTTATTGTGATAATATGGGGGCTACGTATTTGTGTGCTAATCCGGTGTTTCACTCCCGGATGAAACACATTGCCATTGATTATCATTTTGTCCGGGGTCACATACAATCGGGTGCTCTTCGAGTTGCACATATCTCTACTATGGATCAGTTGGCGGACCCACTTACAAAACCGCTGCATCACATTCGCTTCACGGCTCTTCGAAACAAGATTGGAGTCAAGTACTTGTCTCCATCTTGAGGGGGTGTGTAAAAGAGAATGTAAATAAGAGGACTTAAATGTAATTATAAGAGACAATAACCCTAAGCTAGTCATGTATATATATATAAGTTGTAAACCATTTTAATGAATAACACTCAGACATTTCATACCTCGTAGCTCGTACAACTATTTATCGGACACAAGGACCAATATACCCATGTGTTATCAACTCTCATTTTGCAAAGCTCTTTCTCATTGTTCTATGTCTCCGTCATCATCGGTCTTACCTTAATGGTCTCTATCGTCTTCGGCCAGTTCTAACGGCTCTTTGAGGACTTAGATTCTCTACTACGTCGTTTGTTTCTGTCTTCCTCTCAGTAGTCATTTGATTCTACTTAATCTATTTTGTTGTAGCCAAATATTTGTTGTCAATCAATGCACTTAAACAAATCAAAGGAAACGATGAATGGTATGATTACTATATCTTCTTTGACTTGTGGTCAAAATAGAAGATCATTAATATTGAACTCCAACATTAATTTAACAACCGTGAAAAAGATAGTGACGTAGAACAAGGAATGAACTAAGAGAGTTTGTTCATAGCAAAGGCGATTGACCTGTCTCGAATCTGGATTCCCAACATTTTGGTGCACACCATGATGTTATTAAGCCATTGCTATGTTAGTAAAAGAATAGCGTCACGGCGTGAAGCTTCCAACACCAAGAGAATAGCTAAGCTCACCATTAATCCTTGATAAACAAATAGGTCCCTAAGAAGACTAACACTATTGGTAATACAAAGATGATATCATCAATATACACTACGTCTACTATATAAAGCCACACACAACCAGCATTAGGTGTAAAGAGCAACTCAAGGAATAAAGCTAGTTGAGCTCCAAATACCACGCACAATGTATATATTGTAGTTTATACTAAAATAACAAGTACGGTATAGAGATTTTATATTGCAAGGTTGTAGCAAATTCGCACAAATATTGAATAACAATTGTATTTTAAAAAAATAACCAAATTAGATTTATTAGTTACATAAAATCTTCAACATATAGTGTAACAAGAAACAAGATCAGAAGAATCAAATAAGAATAAAAGAAAAAGGGTGTAACAAGGGACAAAAGCCATAAAAAAAATCATTGCAACCATGCTAGGTTATGAAACAATTCAATAGTAGGGTGTCTTAGGGACATATGGTGGTGGTGGAGACTTGTAATCAACCTTTGGAGAACGAGAATAATAAGGTGGTGGTGGGGAGCTGTAGACGTATGGTTGAGGTGGAGATTTGTAGTCGACCTTCGGAGTAGGAGAGTAATAAGGTGGTGGTGGGGAGCTGTAGACGTATGGGGGAGGTGGAGACTTGTAGTCGACTTTCGGAGAAGCAGAGTAATAAGGTGGTGATGGGGAGCTGTAGACGTATGGGGGAGGTGGGGACTTGTAGTCGACCTTAGGAGAAGGAGAGTAATAAGGTGGTGGTGGGGAGCTGTAGACGTATGGGGTAGGTGGAGACTTGTAGTCGACCTTAGGAGAAGGAGAGTAATAAGGTTGCGGTGTGGAGCTGTAGACGTATGGTGGAGGTGGAGACTTGTAGTCGACTTTTGGGGATGGAGAGTAATAAGGTGGTGGTGGGGAGCTGTACACGTATGGTGGAGGTGGAGACTTGTAGTTGACCTTTGGAGATGGAGAGTAATATGGTGGCGGTGGG